CCAGAAGATCTGGGTTCAATCCCCAGCACCCACATGGCAGATCGTAACTGTCTGTAACTCCAGTTCCAGGGTATCTGGCACCCTCACACAGATATGCATTCAGGCAAAACACCCATGCACATAAAAGAAAAATAAATAAATTATTAAAAAAATAAAAACAAACATGAGGCCAGACAGTGGTGGCCCACACCTTTGACCCTAGTACTCTGGAAGCAGAGGCAGGTGGATCTCTGTAACTTAAATGCCAACCTGGTCTACAGATCTAGTTTCAGGACAGGCTCCAAAGCTATACAGAGAAGCCCTGCCTCGAACCCACACACACACACAAAAAATGAAACAAAACAGAACCAAAACACTCCGCCTCTGAATGTTCTGTGTAGTTCAGCGAAACAGATGACAGGTTTGAAGAGATAAGAATTAACCCTAAGATTCAAACTCGTTGTCAATCAGACCAATCAGCCAATAAGACCCCACTATGAATATAGATCCAACTGCCCTGCTTTAATGAAGCATATAAATAATATAAGCTACTGTACCTTGAATGTCTCGGTGTATTTTTTCATTTTACAAACATACTTTTTCAGTCAGTATTAAAGAAAGGAAATTTGAAGATGTTTTTAAGACAGTGGCTCTCAACCCTCCTAATGCTGGGATCCTTTAATACAACTTCTCATGTTGTAATGGCCCCCAACTATAAAATTATTTCATTGCTATTTCATAACTGTAATTTTGCCACTGTTAAGAATTGTAATGTAAATATCTGTGTTTTCTGATGGCCGAGACTCACAGGTTGAGAACCACTGCTTTAACAGCGCCTCTCCGGCACAGTCATGTACTATATAATAAACAAATAGAATCCTGCGCTGTTCAAGAGGTGAGGAAAATTAACGTTAGCACAGGAGCACCACTTGACTTTAAAGCTTCTCTTACATATTTTATACTGAGAAATATTACACTTTGCTTCCTAAGTAGGTGCATACATTTCATAAATAAATATAAAATAAAAATGTACAGAAATGGCTGGCCTGTATGTGCCAAGACAGCTCCCCAATTCAAGAGCATCAGAAACCTACAACTATGCAATTATCAAACCACAGTATTATTGGATGAGTCTCAGTGCTTCAGTCACTAAAATGGTTATGCAACTCTAAATCTTTATGAAATGTTATGGCATTTGTTCACAGAAATGATTCCATTGTCTCTACTCATATTCTTGCATTTTACCTTCACGAATAGCCAAGAAACTCTGGAATAGTGAAGTTCAGGCTCTCCGATAGTTTTAGCCTCGAATTTGAAACATTATTGTACCATATAGGTGCAGATCCACGTCTACGTCCTCTGAAATAAAAAGGGGCATCTTCATACTATGCAGAACTCCAAGATGATTAATGAAGTATGACAGTGGTGGTACCAGGAGTAATGAAGGGGAATCCCTTTTATAAAAGCGAGCATTAAAAATCACCTTCTGAGTAAGTAATTCATCAGGAGATAATTATTGGCTGGCAACAGGTATTTATAATGGAAGCGAACACAACCTTAACCATAGGGGTGCCTCTGAAAACACCCTAATTAAAAAGGGAAAGAGTAATTTTATAGGAAAGTACAAATCAGTGGTGTGTATGTTTGCTAATGTATGCAAAGAGACAGGGGTGGTAATTGCTGGGCCCAGATGGGTACCTGCTGCTGAAGATAATGGGTTTATAAACATGCAAATGGGATTTTGGATAAAGCCATGGGTACCAGTAGTTTTTGGTGAATATGGGGTAGAATATGAAATTGGATTTTGACGGGCGAGGTGTGTTTGCACTCGAATATCCTGGATATCAGCTTGCTTTTGCTTCTAATCATTTTGCTCTGTTGGCAACACTACGGTGTGACTCCTCTCATCGTGCTGAGTTCCCTGGCATGACCATGTTTCCTTCAAGCCTGTGTGTGTGTGTGTGTGTGTGTGTGTGTGTGTGTGTGTGTGTGTGTTCCCTCTCATAACAGCTACTGGACATTGAAGCAGAAACCAAAAAGCAAACGGTGGCAAGACAGAGACTGCTTTTCTCGCATTAGGAGCGATGTCTGGGTCTAGGAAGGTGTGGCCAGAGTGTAGAAGAGCTCTGAGATGAGTCACAGCTCTGTGAAGTGACTCCATCCTTGCTGTGTTCCGATGGCTGCCACTGCCACTTGTGAGATTTACTGAAAACAATGGTTGGGAGGACAGACAGTCTTTCTTGTGGCTGTTTTTTTGTTTTGTTTGTTTTGTGTTTGTTTCTGCTTTTTGAGATGGTTTCCTCTGTGTGTCACTGGCTGTCCTGGAACTACTAATCTGTAGACCAGGCTGGCCTCGAACTCACAGCCATCTTCTTACCTCTGCCTCCCAAGTGCTGGGATTAAAGGTGTCCACCGCCACTGCCCCAGCGAGAATAGACATTCTTACCACATTTTATTGATTTGTGTGTGTGTGTGTGTGTGTGTGAGAGAGAGAGAGAGAGAGAGAGAGAGAGAGAGAGAGAGAGAGAGAGAGAGAGAGAGAGAGGACAATGTTCAATAGTCCACATGGGTCCTAGGGATCAAACCCAGGTCTTCAGACTTGACAGCAAGCCCCTTTACCCATAGAGCCATCTCTCCAGCTGGATGATAGGTGTCATTCAAGGCAGATAAGAAATAGTAGAATGGGTATGGATGTACTTAGGCAAATTCTAAGTGCTAGCATTAAGAAATCACCTTTTCAGTTTCAAGAAAAGGCTAACTGAAGAAGATAGCATTGTTCCTTAGTCATCTATCCTCTTTGAGTTTTAAGGAGAAAGGGGAAGTAAGAAAAGTTGAAGAAAAGAAACACAGAACGGAAGAACAGGAAGGTGAAAGGGTGTTCTGGGGCAGCACGCACCTGCTCAGATGCGGGGAAGTAGCATGAATAGGAGCAAAAGAAGAACCAACATGGAGTTCCCCCTTGCACATCCCCATTCCCCTCCCAAAGGGGACCAGAGCAAAACTCCAGAAGCAAGAGAGGTGGGTTTCAGGTCACCTCCCTGAATTCCAAGTATCCACAGTCCAAACTGGTGCCCCCATATTGTGAATTTTCATAGTTTGGCAATAACAACATTAATGCCAAGGGCAGCCAGTGTTGATGCTGTGGCTACCGCTTGTTGAGTGCACACTAAGTACTTGGCTTGCCATGCATAATGCTCCAACCAGCTTTCAAGCGTGTATTGTTCTCACTTCACAGAGAAGTGGCTGAAGGTCATGCCCTTCTATATGACACAGGTTTAAGCTTGGGCCCATCTGCAAGGCCACAGATCTCTGCCTCAGAGAACCAAAGCCACCTGTCGTAGTCTGTGTTCCACGGCTATGAAGAGACACCACGACCATGGCAACTCACTTTAGCTAAGACACTACCCCTGCTCAGAGAACCCATCTGAACACTAAGTATGTTGTCTTTCACTTATCAAAATGCAGGACTTCCAAGGTCATCATGAGACCACAGACCTCTGCCTTCCCCTAAAGCATGGTAATCAAATTTCTCTTCTGTTCATTACCCTCCAATGCTGAAGCAAGGTTTGGCCATCTTTCTTGCTGTGCCTGCCACAAGGAAGCCCAGACAACTTGGGTGATTAATTCTATGCTATAGCTTTGAATTTTGAAATAGTCTCTTCTGAAGTCTCTGCCTTATAGGAGATAGACCCAATAAAGAGTCAATTCTATTTCTTGTCATAACTTTAATTATAGACATTAAAATGTCAATTTTTAAATGTCCTACAATAATATTATCACTGATAGCTTTTTGGTATTTATTCAGTTGTTCTTCATAGGTTCCTACCATGCCCCTGCCCCCGTGTGTGTGTGTGTGTGTGTGTGTGCACGTGCATGTGCGTGTGTATGGGCGCACATGCGCACGTTGAGTGATGTCAAGTGTGTTCCTCAGTTACTCTCCATCTTGGTCTTTGAGACGCTGACTCAGGTGGACTGGCTGGCCAGAAGTCCCAATGCTCCCCTACCCACACTGGATGACAGATGTGCACAGTCACTCCACCCCGCTTTTCACGTGAGTGCTGGAGATCCACACTCATGTCCTCCTGCTTGTACAGCAAGCAGTTTATCAACGGGGCCACACTTGCACCCCACTCATATGTGCATTTCTATGGAGCGGTAATCCAGACTCTCGTAGTCTTTATCTTGCTTCTTCAAGTAACCCATAGATTCTATTTTCCCTTGTGGCTACGCAAACGGCAAACGGCATATGCAGCATTGTTATGGTCTTCAGAATATTCTGGTGTTAGCTGTTATGTGACTGTCAAATACTTTCCCTGTGGTTTGGGATCGGTGTTCATACATCATCTACCTTACTGAAGAGACACCCCCTGGAGACAGTGTCTTCCCCACCCTCTGTTTTCATGACCAACGTCAGCAGGGTGGAGCAGTGGGCCCTTCCTCATTTCCAATTAGTGAGAAGAGCCACCTGAGAGAACCCCCGCCACCCTCTCCCCCATGCACTCTGTGCCCCCTCCACAGTGCACACAAGCCTTTGCCGGAGTGCTCTTTCCTTCTTTCTGTTCCTTGTTTCCTTCCCAGCAAAAGGCTTCACTTCCTACTTCATCAAAGACCTGTCCCAGCTCAACCATCACCTCCTGTGTTAAGTCTGCTCCAGCGCTTACGTCTGTGCTAGCTGGCTATTTAAGAACTTCTAGCCTCCTCCCTCAGCCTCGAACTACACCTAACCCAACCCTCTTAAAGGTGGCAGTTTACTCCCCTTGTTACCCCTTTGCTACAGTTTACCCCTGACAGCTTCACCTTCCTACATGTAGCGTGCATCTACCATGTGAATGTAATTTTGAAATAGAGATGGACAAGGCAGTTCCTATTCCCAAGAAGCTTCCAGTTAGTTAGGAAAGCAGGTGGTGCATCAAAATCAACCCAGCAAAACAAAAAGAGGTGTCATAATAGAAATATATGCAAAAAGGATCTCAATGTTTCCAGGTAGACATATATGTATACTGAATCAGAGGACATCCAGCTAAAGAGGGAAAGATTTATTATATGACAGTTTCCTCCAATACTGAAACATTCCATTCTGCAGGAAAGTTCTTTAAGCAGGAAGTTAAACTCAAAATAACATCAGGAAGTTCTTGAAACTGACTATATTTACTAGGGCTTGCTGGTGCTGCTGGTCTGGAACCTTCAGTTATCTCCATTATGTTGGACTTGTTTTAAATGAAATGACTTCTAGGTGTCACCAGACTTCCAACTGCCAATTGCAACAGACAGATTCTCGATCCTTATCCTTCTTGACCTGTTTGTGCCATCACCACGTAACAGCACCAACAACCTCACGCAGCCGCATAGCTCCCTGGTTCCCTTTCTTACATTTTGCCAACCAGTTGATAACACTAATCCCACAGGACTTTCCAAAACACAAGTGTATCTTACAACTCCAGACTTAAATGCCACCCTTCCAATTGGTTCATGCCTCAACTCCATGGACTGACATAGCAATCCCTTGACCTCCGGTCACATTTACTCTTTCCCTGCTGCTGTCCTGCACAAACCGTGTTCTGGTGCCATCAGATTACCAGCCACTTCCCAGTCAGGCTGTGGACTGACCTTCTCCTGACCTCTCTGTATGTACTTTCTTTGCCCAGAACGCTTTTCTTCCTTCTTCTCCCTGTTTCCTCACCTGCGGAGTCCCACTTCAGTGCCTAATCTTCTCTGAAGCCTTTCTTAGCCTACTGGTTCCCTTCCTGAGCTCCTCCACAGCTGACACTACATACCAGATGCCATTGAACAATAATTGAAGTGTTGTGGACTATTCCTCTACACTGTATGAGGATGGATCTCTGTGATTTGTTTAACTAAAAGCTAAGCACCCAATAGCTAGGCAAGAGGTATAGGTGGGACTTCTGGGCAGAGAGAGCTCTGGGAAGAAGAATGGCAGAGTTGTCATCCAGACTCAGGATGACCAGGATGGACACAATGGAGATGAGGAAATGAGCTTGTAGAAGAACATGGTTTTTAAAACATGGGCTAATGTAAGTTATAAGAGCTAGTTAGAAGCAAACCTAAGCTAAGGCCGAGCTTTCATAATTAATAATAAGTCTGTCATTTTTTGTGAGCTGGTAGCCCAAAAAGAAAAATCATCCTACACAGGAGTCTACACACTTATTATAATTGTTACTCTCACAGAAGATTCTATATTGGTCTGTCAGATAAATGTTAAGAACCTAGTGCACAGCCAATACAGGATGATTGGAGTAGATACTCCCTGCCCATCCAGTGGAACTCAGCAGTGGGCAGGCAAAGGGAGGAAGAGGCCATGAAGAGAAACTTGACTACCAGCAAGAGTCAGTCTGCCACCTCACAGCCACTGACTCCCTGACAGAAAGGTGGAGCCACAGCCTTTTGCTTCTTATGACTCTCTCTTTCTTTGATGACACAGTGGCTTGTCAGCTCTGTGGATGGAGCAGTTAGTTGGTAATGCAGCTCCCTTGCTTGCTTTGGCAAATTACTTGTATGGGCAGTTACCCAGAGCAAGGAGCAACATGTATGGAGATTGGATGGAAAGCATTTTGGTAGCCTGGCTTGGTTCATACACTCCAGAAGGCAGCCATAATACTCTACCATTGAAGGAATGCCAGGAGATTCTCTGCCCAGAGGAAGAAAGGAGCTGGTCCAGTGTCTTTCTCCATGTTTCTCTCACCTCCCTTCCTGCCCACCCATGCCTGTGCTGACTTCTATATTGGCTGAATACTACAGAGAACAAAGGAACTTAGTTACCATGTGGCTGGCCTGTATTCTTATTCTCTAGTGATACCATGAGGTTAGGAAGCATGGTTAACCAATGAGCCTGCCTCATGTTTTCTGACTTTCCTACAGAGCAGGCATTTACGTAACAACTCCTAAGTGCTAGATATTCTGAATGCGTAATCTCACCATGTTCTTTTAAATTTTCCAGAAAAGAGATACCTTTTCTTTCAGCAAACAAAGACACAGGAACTTACAGAAAATATAGTTTGTTCCAAGTCTACATACTAACACAGTAGAGATGAGGCTTGAACTTACATTGCAATACTTCTACAGCTAGCTTCTATTATTTGAAACATCTTAGAGAAGTAAATAGACTAAAAGTGAAAAAATCAACCCATGTGTTAGCAAGGATTAAAACATGTGTGTCCTGGTTTCCATGGCATCCCACAAATACCCACTATATTGAAAGAATATGATTGAGTTGGATGGATATGTTTAATGTTGTAATAACCTATAGACTTTATAAAATGTTGTTATAATATGCAAATGACCTAATGACTCACCAACTGTCCTTGTCTCTACACTCTACAGTCATGGTCCCTTGTAAGGATCTTTCTGGTTGGAGATAATTCCGTTCCCTAAAGTCAAACATTCACAGATGATTTTAAAATCTTCCCTCTTCCTCCTCCTCTCTCTAGAGTGTCAAGTATGGCCAGAAAGGAAGAATGAAGTTGTGTCTACCTGTCCAACTATTTTAGCAAGATATGAATGTTGTTCGTTTCTAAAACGATGCCAGATTCACTAAAGCAACTATTTATTTTCTAGCTGGTGTGGCACCTAAAAGTAGATTTTCTTGAGGATTTCTTTGTTCAGCTTCTAGTCTTGGCATTGTGGGTACACAGAGCTGAAGATAACATCCTGCATAGAGTTAAACACACAAGAGTGGGTGATAAAGTCAACATAAAGCTGAAAGTAAGCAAGATTTACCAAGGATAAATTGCCAGGATTTTACTGTAGTTTCTAAGTGGACACTGTGGCTGGTTCATCTTACCCCTTCAGTTTTTCAACTCTGCATCATCCCAACTTTATCCCATCTTCAGCACTCAGGAATGGAGGGCAGGATACTAGAAAAGAAATGACAGGAGTCAGTGCAGAGATGAACCCACACATGGATGAGCTTTCTGAGCTTACATGTAAGGATTCCAAAGTCAAAGAAGCCACAGACCAGAGGAATAAGTAGACACGAAAACTTTCTGGGCTTCCCTAGAGCTGTCTGTTATGTTGTCTCAGCCTGAGCTAAGGAACTTCTAGCGTCTGTCATTCAAAGACAGCATGTGTCCCTCTGATTATTCCCACTTCTATAATTTTCATGCCTCTCTTTTCAAAAGTAGGTTAAGGATGTTCAGGTTTCCCTCAAGCGTGGTAATGAGTTAGTCACGATGACGACGGCATCATTTAAATTGCCCAACCCGTTGACAGGATGCCATGAAAGAAGCTTCTACAAACACAATCTGGGCAGTGTTTTTCTTGTCTTGTGTTGCAAAACGTGGAGGAGGAGTTAGCTACAGGTGGGTAATCAGCATAAAAGCTGCTGAAGCAGGAGAGAAAAGTGCGCAGCTGCCTAGACAGAAAGTGTAGCTATGGCGGTTTCATGCTACCCAACACTTGGGAGCCTGAGGCTAGGGGATTGCCAAAGATCAGAAGCCAGCCTGGCTTAAGACTGCCAAAACCAAAGAAAAAAGAAAGGAGGAGGAGAAAGGTGAGGAAGAGGAGGAGAAAACACTGGTGTTCTTTCTGCAGGAAACAAACATTGAGGCTAAAGAGCAGCTCATGGCACCCAAGTGCTCATGGTCACCTGTGGGGTTGGAATCTCTCCTCAAGTTGCTTTTCACTCATCTTACCCAACATGGCCGCCCCTTTCCTCCGTAAGTGCTCTCCTGTGCTTGTCTTGAGTTGAAGCTAAGGGAACTGCTTTGATTTATTTATTTTTCTCTCGTTCATGAGATTTCAATCCTACGTCGTGGTGTTTGGTTTTGTATGTCAATGGTACTAGGCTAAGAACTGCCCAGAAAGCTGGAAACACACCGATTTAGGGTGTGTCTGTGTTTCTGGAACAGGATAGCAATGGCATTGGTGCTCTCAGATCACATCCACCAGTGTGGGTGGACATCATTAGACCCAAAGAAGACTCCAATAAAACACATGGGCTGGGAAGGACGGATATTATCTCCTGGAGCTGGGACACCTGTCTTTCCCCACCCTGGGGTGGCAGTGTTCCTGGTTCTTGGACCTCTGAGGTCTGAGGCAGACTGGATCATAAAGATCAGCTTCCCACAGACATATGGTGGTAGCCTATGTGACTGCATGTATATGTGAGCTTTATACAATTTTTAATTAATTAATTTATTCCTCAAGAACCATCCTCACTCCTGTTGGGAACACCTCACATATCTGATGTCTGTCATCTGATCTAGGAAATGACATGTGCAAATAATAAAAATAGATAGTAGGCAAAATTCTTTGGGGCAAAAATCCAAGGGAGTGACAGACACGGGAGTTTGTCTATGTAAGACTTCATGAGGGTTATGACAAACAGCTTGGCCAGGCAGATCATAGGTGTCTGAAGACAGTGTTAATGGAATACAGAAGAGACACAAGCTCAAGGCAGGAGGAGGAGGAGAACCACTTTATCCAGAGAATATTATCATCCAAAAAAGTCCCATGGAAAAGAACTTTCTCTTAGTTCTGAAGCCAGGACAGCCAAACTGCGCTCCTGATTGAAGGTCTCCACTTATTAAAGGGTTGGCATGCCATGCTGGACACTGCTTTCCCTGAGAGCCATTCCTACCTCCCAGTATTTGGAACCCCTCTGTACCATACAAAGGAACCAAGACTCCCGCCCCTACATAGAACTGGCTAGGGTTAGGGTTGCCAGGCACTCAGGAAGCATGATCTCAGGTGACCTCTGGTTTTCCTTTCATTTGAATAATATATTTAAAAACAGGAGTAAACTCAGGGTTCAGAAGACACCCCCCCCACAGCTATGCTTCCTGCAATGCCTAGGGTTGCTTCATGGTCAGACCCAGTGGCCTTTCTTGTTGACTGCCCAGGTCTATAGCTCAGTGTGCTTGGAGCCATTCACGCTCTGATCAGATGGAAACTACTAGCTCCAGGCGGCATCACACCGTGTCCTGAAGTCTTCTAAATACCCAGTAAGTGTTTCCTCAGTCTCTCCCTTCCTCCTTACTGGTCATCAAAGATGCCCTTTCCATCCTTGGTCTCTTTCTCTTGCCCTCCATGTGCCTCTGTTTATACACTCAGTGTCATTTAATAAACAATGTTGAGCACTTGTCATATGCCTGGCATTGGAGGGAACAAGCTAAGAACAAATATGATGTAACAAAGTGAAACACAATGAAAAGTGTGTGTAAAGTAGACATACATGTGATACCTTTGTGACTCAAATGAGGAAGTGATTAATTCTGCCTTGAGACGATCACAAAAGGTTTGTAAAGGGAAAACATTCTTATCTGTAGCTTTTATATATTTTGTTTGTTTGTTTGTTTGTTTGAGACAGGGTCCACTATGTAGCCTTGATTGGCCGAGAACTCCCTATATTGACCAGGCTGGTCTTAAACTCAGAGACGCACCTGCCTCCGCCACTCCATGCTTCATTAAAGGCCTGCACTACCACGTAAAGTCATATTACAGCTTTAGTCATTAACTGAATCTTCATGCCCAAGTAACACGAAAATGAATCATCATGGCACTTTGACTTTTGATTAACAAAATTAGCTCATACTTAACGTATGCCCTGTGGTGAACTAGGTATAAGGCTGGGGATAAAGACAAATAAGCTGTCCCCCAGGAAGTCAAAACACACTAGAGAAACAAGATATGCTTTCAGAGCAAACACGCATGGCAAGCTGACCATGGTGGTATGCGAGCGAGCGACAGCTCTGGGAAGAGGCTCCAAAGAGCCTTCTACACAGAGGGAAAGGGGCTGAGCTGAGCCATGGCCAGCTGGAGTTGGATGCTTGGGTAATGGCTTCCCAAACACGGCCCCACTCTAAACCTGTAAATGCGAGGACACCTGGCAGTGGGGACATTTCACACGTGACAAATTCAAGGAAGATGGGAAGCTTAGATTACTCATGTGGGCCTCACGAGGTCTTCTACTGAATATAAAATAAAAAGAGGCAGGGGTGTGAGAGGGAGAGATGTGAATGGACGCAGGGCGGAGTTACACAACCATTCAAAAAAAAGGAGAAAGTGTGGGCATACTCTCTCTAGAGCAGGGGAAGGGCAGGCAGATCCTCTCTGAGTCCTGGAAGGTAAGTCAACCAGCTGACATTGGAACTTCAGCCCAGTCGGTCTCATTTCATGCTTCCAGTCACCAAAGAATAAGATGTCCAATTACTCTTGAGCCACTGCTGCTGTGGCAATCCATAACAACAGCAATATAGATCTCATACAGATGGCCAAGCCAGCCAGCTGTGGGGCTGGAGGACATTGTGGTCATAAGGAATGGCAGAAGCAAAGGCAGAGACATGGGATAGCATGACACAGCCCCGGGGTGATTTCAGAAGCAGTATAGTGTTGCCAACGTCAAGGGTCACCAAGCAGGGAGTAAACTAGACTGGAGGCAAACCCTTGACCATACAGGAATTCGAAAGGAACTGTCAGGGGCAGCCATGCCACACACATGTTCAGCTAAGGAATTGCTTCAGCTTAGAAGTGAAACTGGGAGCCATTTCATGTTCTCAAACAAAAAAGTAAGACTACTAGCTTTTCGATTTTGAAAGACAGAGAATGGGGAAGAGCATGGGGTGGGGTGACTATTTAGGAAACTATTGCAAAAGTCCTGTGAAAGGGAGACAATGTGAGCAAAGCAAAGGTCAGAGTGAGGAGACTTAGGACCCAGAGAGTGACAGAGTACGGGGCAAGGAAAAAAGAGTCAAGCGTGACCCCAGATTTCTGCCTGGGCCTCTGAATGGCCTTGCTGTCTACCTGAATGGAGAAAAGTAGAGATTCCACCAAATACATCTTGGACTTATTTTGTTAGTTTAGACTGGCCTAGAACTTATGCTCACATTACATCAGGCTCCCAAGTGCTGGAACTACTGGTGAACACCAGCACTACCATCTTGGTGCTTATTTTCTCTCTCTCTTTTTTTTTTTTTTTTTTTCAAGACAGGGTTTCTCTGTGGCTTTGGAGGCTGTACTGGAACTCGCTTGGTAGTCCAGGCTGGTCTCGAACTTACAGAGATCCGCCTGCCTCTGCCTCCCAAGTGCTGGGATTAAAGGCGTGCACCACCACCGCCCAGCTATTTTCTCTATTTCTATGCTCACCGGATGTAGCAATCCCACCAGTCTCCGGCTAGACATCTTTTAAATCTCTAAAAATTCTCATCTTTCCCGTGCTCAATGCAGCCTCTACGTTGTAGTTAGAACAGCTCACTCAATACTCACAGGTACTATCCAGTGCTTACAGTTTGTGAGATGTTAGTGACCCTGGAGGTACAGCAAGGAATACAACAGTGACAAAAAACAAACTAGCTGAAACTTAATCTGGATTGTCCAGGGTAACTTGGGGCTGTTCCATCTTCCATGCACATCTTCGGTAATGGCATCCAGTTTCTTTTCACTTCATGTGTACAGCTTTGGGCGTGTCCTCAGGCTCCCTGTCAACTTCCTCATCCCAGATTAGCAGTAAGAACTCTCAAGTTACAAGTGTGAGCTAAAGCAATACTGCTTAAACTATCTATGGAGCTTAAATTTACAATATGTATGTGTTTTTAATCTTTTCAAACTTAGTAAGTGTCCTCCTGCACAGGACTTGTGAGCGGGTCATACTACACATGACTCATCTGTGAATTTCACAATGCTCAAACTAGCCCACACCCAGTTCGGTGACATAAGCCCCTAGGTTTGCCTGACACAATATCTTGGTTTATGCTCTAAAGTTTCTTAATGCTTAGTCTCAATTTAAGCAACTTTCACAGGTTACATTTGAGTCCCCATACTTATTCTCTCACTATGATGGTTTTAAGGAAATTGAGGATACATGCACCTAGTTATATGCTGGTTGGTTTGGGGGTTTTATTTTGTTTTTGCTAGTCCACTAAAGCCTCTATTGGCCCCGGTAGTTGACACTGCTCCTGATCCTGTAAATATACCTTGGGCTATGTGCAGGCGGAAGGATGTCTGACAGATCATCTCTTTTTAAAGAATGAATACTCCCTGTTCTTCCATTTCTTTCGTCAGCTGCTTCTTTATCCTGTTCTCAACTCACACAAACGAGGATGAAGATTAATGTGAGACTCTCAGTTCTTCCTTCTTTTTTCTAAAGATGCTCAATTCTTTATCAAATTCTTTCAAAGGAGTCAGTCTGGCCATCTCCATTTTGCCAGCCCTAATTAAATGAAGCTACTGAGCATAAATCATAGCTTCAGTTCAACCTCGGGCCGTGTGCTGGATGGATGAGGACAGAGAAGGAGCCATTGTCTCTGGCTCCCTGGCTAACTCCAGGGTTGCCCTGCGCTGGCCTTCCTCCAGGCCACAGAGAGTCCAGCACAGCCTCACATTACGGCTCTTCTAGGACATTAGTTCAGCCCTCACCACCGGCGTCCAGCTCTCCTCTGTGAACAAACCCTTTTCTGTGGCTTCCACAGCTTCACATGGAATTTTCCTCATGCATTCCATATCAGGACAACACTGTTTACGTAAACATTCAAGATAAACTCTTGGGGTCACTGCTGACCCTGTGTTTCCCACCACGCATGTCTCGTCTCCAGCCGGTGGACACTCCCTGTTCCATCACCGCCATGCTTGTTTCTCCAACTGTGTTTTTTCTTCTCCATCTCTACTGCCTCTGTTCAGGCCTTCATCCTTTCTCTCCTGGATCATTCTTAGTTCTTATTACAGCAATACCTGGCCTGGATTCAGTGGCCTGTCTTGCAGACTCACCCATGCCCTAATAGACTGCGCTAACGTTCAGAGACACTGCTACTGACCTGCAAAACGTCTCTCTCTTGCTAACTCTCTTTCTTAAATCAGGCTTTTTCTTTTCACACAGGGCCTGACTAATATATATAACCACTCCCAATTTAGCAATAACAATGGTTAAAAAAAAAACCACCGAAATGCCTCCTCTTGGATACCTCAACATTCCACAAACATGCCACCATTTCTCAGCCCCCCATCCGCTGTGACACTCCTTTCCTGCGATCAGTCCTTACCCTCTACTACTGTGCATTACCTTGATGCCTGTTCTGATGCTTTGGGGATGACGTCTGCTCTTCAAGCACAGGCCACAGCTTCACTCAGAGCACAATCTTCTAACGCCTTCTCTGTGTGATTCATCCAACAAAGGTTCTGTAAGCCAGATGCCAGGGGTACAAAACAAAAAACCAAAGGTCTTACATGAGGTTGGCAGAGAAAGATGGAAGTATAAATAGTAGATACACTTCTGTATTTAAAACAGTCAGTATTACGAAAGTTCTGCCATTGCTGCCTCTAGAAGTGTGGGCAGAACACCGTGGAGAATAACATAAGGGAGAGAATGTCAGCTCAGCTTTCAAGAGGGAGCGGGCAGATGCAAGGCAGTCTGTGACAAAGGGCACAACCCTCTTCGGGGGTGACCCAAGAGGCCGTCATAACAGGCAAAGGACAGTGTGGAAAGACATGTCGTGCTATGCCAGGAAATAGCAACTCATGGCTAGGTTCTGGGCATCAACACAGACAAGAAGTTGGTGAGGAGGTTTGCTTCATGGAACCACGAGTGGGTTTTAAGCCAGCGCTGATACAGGGCAATCTATGTTTTACCAACGCTGCATGGAGACCAGCTTGGAGGGTGGTGCGCACATCTACTTTCTCTTCTGGATTCTGAGCCCTTGGGTGTCAAGTTCTGTGTGACTTTCATTTCTAGCCCCCCAGCTCCTCACACTCATTCGCCAGTCAGTGAGAAGCAGTACTTGCGCTATGGATGCTGAGCGTGGGTCTGAGTGAGGAGAAGACACTCCAGGCTCGAGGTGCCCCTGCTACAGGAGACACCAGGGTGTTACTCTGAGCATCTGTTTCTTCATCTATAAAATGGAAGCCCATACAGAGTCATCTTTCAGTTCTCTTTTGTTCTAACATTCTGTGATTGTAGAAGGGAGGTTCCCTATTTTTTTTTAAAGTTTGCTGTCAATATTTGGAAATACAAATGACCGTTAAGAGAGGTGTCAAGAAATTAGTGTACCATGAAACACAGGTTGACAACAACATTGCATAAACCAGTGGCTCTCAACCCGTGGATCTCAGTCCCTTCCAAGGCTCACCTAAAACTATGGGAAAACACAGATATTTACATTACGGTTCATAACCGTAGCAAATGAAACAGCAACAAAAATCATTCTATGGTTGGGGGTCACCACAACATGAGAAACTGTATTAAAAATTCGCAGCATTAGGAAGTTTGAGAGTCACCGACACGAACTATCTCTTGAATGGCGGGCAACAATCCAGGCTAATCAAACAGCAAAAGACCTGCTCTTCCCGCTGTTGGATAAAAAGCTGTTCCCTCGAGATTTCCTCCTTTTTAAAGGAAAGGAAAAGGACTTTGGCTATAGTTGCTGTGTAGCTGTTAGCAGTAAAGTTGATACATTTGAAGAACACCAGGGGCTTGAGAGAAAGCCAGTGGCTGTGTTCACCTGAGCTTACTTCTCTTTTTACCAGCTCTTTGGAGTACATAAAGCTCTGTCAGGCTCTCCAGCATAATTCATAGATTTCTCACCCCATGATTGGTTTAGTAGAATATGCTCTTACATTTCTGTATCATCAGCATATTACTGGCCTGGACACCACAATATAAAATCCCACTTCAGAGCTACTACCATGGTCAAAAAGAGGCAAACATTTCTCTTAATGTCTGAGTTATTTGGCTCTTATGTTAATAAGAGACACCCCTCGCCCCCAAAATACCTTTTGCGGATAGGGTAACCAGCCCACTTGGCAGAATGCTTGCCCAGCCCTGCCTTCAAATCCTCAAAACCACACTTATAATCACAGTATTTAGAGCGGAGGCAGGAGGATCAGAAAGCTAAGGCCTTCCTTGGTTATGCAGTGAATTCAAGGACAGCTTGGGCTATGTGAGACCCTGTCTCAAAAAGTAAACAAGGGACTGGAGAGATGGCTTAGAGCTTAAGAGCCACTACTGCTCTTGTAGAGGACCAGAATTTAGTTCCTAGAACCCATATTGGCCACCTCATATATGACTGCAAAACCAGCACCAAGGAAACTGGAGCTCTTTACTGGTTTTCATAGCCGCATGCATGTGTGCGTGTGCGTGCATGCACAGGATGCATGCACACAAAAGAAAGGAAAATCTTTTGTCCCCTTTTTGGGGGGACAGGTGTGGAAGTCTCATTATTCCTTGGCTGGCCTGGAACTCACTCTGTAACCCAGGCTGACTTCAAACTCACAAAAATTCACCTGCCTCTGCCTCCAGGGTGCTGAGATTAAAGGTACTTCCACTGTCACCACCCGGCCATTTCAACTTTTAAAATGTCATGATTTGTTAGCTTTTCCTTAAGAAATACCATTCACTCTTCCTTACTGAGCTTATATGTCTAACCATCTAATTTCTATATGTGAGATTTATATTTACTCAAAAACCCATGAAGAAAAGTCTCACTTGGACTGTATTTTCCTAGTAAACTATGCCTCTGGGTTTCTTTTTACTGAAAAATAAAACTGCTAATTTTGTGCCAGGGTATAATTGTCTAGAATGGCTTGTAAATCAGCCACAGTGAACTGGACACTCTTCAACTGGGATGAACTTTCTTTAAATCAGAGGAAGGGAAAGAGGTCTGTTTACTTCTTTGGAGGAGGTGACCCTCACCCCCACCCGTCCACGCCCCTCCCTCTTTGCCTGCCTACTCTCTCAGGCCCCTGGGCCTTTGATTTAACTGAACCTGGGTTCTGTGTCTGAGGCGTTTCTCACGTTGGAGATATAGAATATCACCTAAATAAACAAGAGGGATAATGTCGGGGTCCTTCCTGCAGGGGCAGCCCCCTTCTCCTCCCTTTCAGCATCCTGTGCTGGAGAAAAGGGTTGGTCCAGGCTGTTAACCTCTAATCCCATTCGGAGCACCTAGTGTTCACTTGCTAAACTGCAAATTCAAGAAATGTGGGGCCACGAGCCTGTATTCACAGATCTTGGAAGGTGGAGTTGAAGAAACGAGAGGAGTTCAAGGTTATCCTTGGCTACATAGCGAATTGGGGCCTGGGTTACTTATAACTCTCTAAACAAAATAATAGAAAAGAAAGAAATGCTGGGTATAAGGTCACTGATTGGGGGGGGGCGCTCAGTGGGGAAAGGCCCCTGCTGCCAAGCCTGACCATTTGTGTTCTATTCCAGAAACCCATACGGTGGGAGAAGAGAACCGACTCCCATAAGTTATTCCCTGACCTCTAAACACATAAAAATAAGAAAATAAAAAGAATAAATGTAATGAAATGTATTTTAAAAGACAAATAATTAAGAATCAAGAGTTTCCTAACTAGGACACTATGGTACAATAGTATGCTCTAAAACTCACAACAAAATTTTAAGCAGGCATGGCTGTCTGAAATTTAGCACAGTATCTTCTGGTTTCTCTGTGATCTCATAAGGGAAACCAAAACAATATATTCCCAGGTCCCTTCCCCACAAACAGGCAGATGCTCAGTCAGTGCTCCTTTCCTCATCACTAAAGGTGAAAGGTTACAAGAAAGTATTCCTGTATCTTACATATGCAAAAACTGGTAATGAGCTCTGTTGGTGGGGTGCTTGCCTAGAATGCATGAAACCCCAGGTGCCATCCCCAGCATCACAGAAATGGGGCACGGGGGCAAAATAATAACAATGAAATGAGTTTCTCTTCCCACTTTTAGACACAGCAGAAGTGGGGTAAAATAGCCGGAGAGTCACTAAAGAAACGGTTGTAAAACATCGCAAATTAATAGGAGACGTGTGTGTGTGTGTGTGTGTGTGTGTGTGTGTGTGTGTGTGTGTGTGTGTGTGTGTGTTTGAGACAAGGTCTCATGTAACCTAGGCTGGCTCCAAGCCCATTGAACTTCTTGTTCTTCCTCCCCGGCTCCCTAGTGCTGGGATTGTAGGCATGTACCACATGTCCTGTTAATGTCTTTATGTTCTCCTAGCCACTTCTCTTGTCTGATCGTCCCCTGGTGATACTGATTGCGAAAGAGCCACTGTTTTATCAGTCCTTGGAGGAATAAAGGGAATTGTGCATTGATTTAAAACATAACGGGGAAGGAAAAAGAAAGATACATTTTGACATTTAGGAAGGTTCTGACGCTTGTGCATCAGTGTGGACTAGTAATGGCTAAGGCTGTGCCTTGCCTTTGCACTACGGCAATTCACACGTGCTAATACAAGTTCCACGGGCTGGAGAGATGGCTCAGTCGATAAAAGCACTTACAGCTCTTGAAGAGGACCCAAGTTTTAACACCAGTACCCATGTCAGACAACTCACAACCACTTGTAAGCCCAGCTCCAGGGAATCTGGTGTTTTCATCCGGGCTCAACTGGCATCTACACACAGACCCACGTGGATATACACACATGTGTAGACACGCAAATAAATATAACAATATTTTTAATTTAAAAAATCCCAAATGTTTGAATGAGGAGTCTTCTACCATCCACTCTTACAAAAGTAGCTTGGCTTTGCCTTTGTTCTGAAGAGGGTACTATCCAAACAACTACAGCTGGTGGGGAAGAGGAGCAGAGAAAGATGAATCATTCTTAAAACTAAACTTGTCAGTTTCAGAAACAAACCTAACAGCTTCCAGTGGCAATGCATAATCGTCCAACAGAGGGGTGCCAAACACGTAAACAGACCTAAGTACTGTTTTAGTAAACCGTTTGCTCTGAGAATGTGAGCCAAGATCACCAGGCCAGGGGGTGGCCTGCAGTGCGTGCCTCCAAGCCGGAGCTCTGGGGTCCCACCGCCTGGGTGAGAACCCTGATGATCGTCATTCGGTACCTCTAAGTTCTCAGGTAGCCTCAGGTACCTCCCCTGTGAAAGGGAGACCGTGGCAACACCTGCTTCATAGACTTGGATGAACATGGGAGGGTTAATGCATGTAAAATGTCTGGTGTCCAGGAAGTAGTTACCAAGTGTTGACACTGGCACGCTCACAGGGTGCTGCTTTGAGAGTCTTTGTAGCAGTGAGATTCTCTGAATTCTTAATGTGTGTAGGACTGAGACTGAATGGAGGGAACAGACCTGGGAAGATTTTTAAGTGGCTCCTAAAGGCTTCCGGCTCCCGGAATCCACATAGTTTACATTAAGGCAGAAGTTGACGTTTTTCTAACTAGAAACAGT